TAATGCAATTACAGCACAAACAGTGTGTTTATTATTGTTTGTTTTGTTTTTTGGCACCAGAAAGAATGGGACATTAGCTGCCTTTTCATTCATTTTTGGTCAATTTCTTGTACTTGACCTTCTTGAAAAGAGTCCAAAAGTCATACAAACAAAGGAACCAGACAGGGATGAGACACTGTTGTGTCTAATCCCAACAGACAAGCTGAAAAATGGAGGAAAAAAACGACACATTTGAGGAAACCGAACACGTGAAGAACAGAAGAAGACGTCATGGGCCTAAAAAATATCTCTATAATAACTATCTCCAACTTTGGGGCGTCCTCCAAAAAGCCTGGAAAGCTATTCCTGAAGACTCCTCACAGAAAGCACACACAGCTGGTTGGAGAGGGTTTAGATATGGAGAATAAAGGAGCTCAGAGCAGGTTTTGACTGTATACCTCATTAAAATGGTTCACACTCTGCTTTTTGCTTATTGCATTTAAATACAGGTTCAACTATGTTTCAGAAAAGCTTTGGACTGCACCAAAGGTTTCATTCAAAGCAACATTTTAATTTATTTGTTTCTTTTTCCAACGCATTTGTATCATGAGGCCAAAACGTAGCTTTAAACCCTTTGATTTTCAATTTCTGCTACATTTTAAAGTATCTGTCAATGCAGGTTTAAACGGTCTAGAAAACTACAAAAAAAGAGCATCTATTGGAATGTTTTTACATTTATTAAACAAATATATGTATGACTATCTAATGGTTAAAGCTTAATATTGTTCAACTAATTGCAAGTTAAAGACGCTACGACATGAATAAGGTATCTAAATCTGCCTAATCAGGAGCTGGAGCCGCCACCTGTTGCACCTGGACAATAAGTCACAGCAGTAAATAACGAAAAAACCTCCGAGTCCGACCGTCAAAAGACCCGAGAAATACGGTGTACAGGCGGGAGGCGTTTCAGGGGGACTCACGCGGCTCTCCGCTGCTCGCTCCGGTCAGGAAAAAGCCGCCAACTCTGCTTCGTGTCCGTGTCCGGTGAGCACCGTGTCAGCGACCTGCTCTCCTCCGGACAGCCGGGCGCGCGCAGCCAGAGTTGAAGGCTGCCGTCAAGTTGCGCGAGCCCTCCACTTCCGGTTATCCGTTTCCATAATAATAGTATAGTATATTCTACTTGTAACTCTTCTGAAATAACTTTTTTTTCTTTATCAAAACATGGACCAAAATATTAATGTGGACGTTTTATTGTATTTTATTTATTTGTTTAAATAAATAATTTAAATTTATTTAAATACATAAATAAATAAATAAATAAATAAATAAATAAATAAATAAATAAATAAAATTTATTTAAATAAATAAATAAATAAATAAATAAATAAAAGCCCTCCACTTCCGGTTATCCGTTTCCACAATAATAGTCCTGCTGCCGCCTGCTTTGGAGGTGGCTTTTATCTGAGTAGACGTTTTTTATACCACGGATAAAGTCAAACCCTATTTAAAATGGCCAAATAGAAATGTAATAGCCAGCCTATGTTTACCAGGGTAAATATTTCTGATGTAGAAACTGCTTTATTGCTCAGTACGTTTACTCCTATATAATAACTTGTTTGATTACACCAGAAATTAATTAGACAAATAGGCTATACGACAAATAACACTGAAATAAATACAATTCGTAGTATAATCAGAGTCTAACTCTTTATTGATCAGAATGTTTACTCATATATATTGTTTGAATACAACATTGGAGTTTGATCAACATTATTTTTTATAATACAAATATAAGACAAAAAACACAGAAATGAATACAATTCGTAGTATATTCAACTTGTAACTCTTCTGAAATAACTTTTTTTTTTAAATCAGAACATGGACCAAAATATTAATGTGGACGTTTTATTTTATTTATTCATTTATTTATTTTACTTTAGTAGGAAACACACAGGCCTTCTTCTAGGCTTTTCCATAAAGGGCTTTTTCAGCTCGGTTCAGTCAGGACCTGGCGGGAGGATTTCCCAAAGGATATTATGTTGCAAATATATTCAAGAAATATGTTCAGTCGTTCTTAAGTTCTTCTAAAGTCACAAACTTTGTGACAAACACAAAGTAATTCTAGAATGTTCCTGCCACCATGGCAAAAGGTTTTCCTCTCAGGAAACCTTTTCACATTTCATTCAATCCACAGAGAAACAGTTAGATATCCGTTTATCAGTTGGTCTGCGCCATCCCACCTGATCAAAGGCTCATTCTGATTTGGGCTGATCAGATCAGTCTAACAGCATTGAAACCTTTACAGGAGGCATTTTGAAACTGACCGTTAATCTGTCCTTCATCATTTTGGAAAGTTTACGTACCAAACAGATAAAAAATACTTTAAATCTGTCACCTAAGAGTGTAAAACTGTATGTAAAGGAATCTTCAACAAACTTTCAGCAGAACACAATGTGTTTTCTAGGCCCCAAAATAAACGTAAATACTATCTAGACTGTCTATTTTACTCCTTATTTGAAATGTTTTTTCAGTAAATACAGCTTCAAGATCACCCTGGGGAGATAAAATACTGCATTCACTGGCAAATTTGGTAAGAAAATGTATGTATTTGGGAATATCGAGACAAATAGTTGCACAATTTGTAAACAAATCTTTGAAGGTAAGACTATGCACTGAGAGATAGAAGTAAAATAACTCCATATTACCATATTAACTAGATAGGGTTTGTCGGAGCTCATTCAAGGGCTTCAATGACTGTAATGAAATTATGATTCCTTTCTGTAATTTGACATTTTTTATGGCAAGATGTCTGAGAATATAAATAAATATTTCTACTGTAACTGAGAATTTCATGTTGTTTCTGATCGGTTTTACACAATTGATGGTGAATTTGAACTTGACTAAAGCCATGAAATATTAAATATTTCCTTTTCTTTTACAAACAAAGAAGGAAAATCATGGTAGAAAAAAATCGCACATTTGACTTTCTGAATGAGCTCGTCCTCACTGAGATGTTTGGTCAGGTTCTGCCCTCAAGTGGTCCAAAAATGCTACAGCATTTCATTAACAGAAAGAAAACCTCTAATAAAATTACAGAAAAATCAACTCACAGCAACGTTCAATAAACCCGCGAGTCACTGTGTGTCTCTTTATTTTGTTTATACAGGAAAAATCAACTTGAAGTATTAAAAAAGCTCCAAAATTGTATTAATTGCTTAATTTCTTGTTTAGTTTTGTTATATTTAAAAGCCATTTTGTAAGTAAATACAGCTTCAGCATCACCCCAAGTGAAGCATTACACTAAATTTACTTGTGAATCAATATGAAGAAAATATCACAAAAAGACAATATCACACGGAAAATGGAAAAACATCTACCACAACTTCACAACATGCTGTTCTGCATCACTATTTTTATTCATGCTTTTATTTGAATATTTCTTGGGAAAAGGAAATCTTTTCTCAGGCTTCTTCAAATGAATATCCAGGTGTTTCTGGACAGTGGACAAACGAGTGGGTAATTCAAAGACAGTAATGTATAGTATGAGAGTTGCATGCAAAGTTTTCTCGTTATGCATTTGGTTAAAAAAATGTCAGAATACTTTCACATTGTTACGTAGGTTTTCCACAAAGTGAGGACCTGGAAAAACCCTTGAATGTGGATTTTTTTTTAAATCACTGAGAAAAAACACTTTGGAAAAAATGTCCTGACTCTAAATGGTTAAAGTGAAAAAAGGAGAAAGAGTGGGTTCTTTCAGTTGATGAGTCAAAGATCACCACTCGAAGCGCAATTTTTAAGAATTATAAGTATTATGACAATACCAGCGGCTTCATACTTCCAGGAATAAGAACTCCACTCAATGCAAAATTTTTTAGAATACTAAGAACTGTGACATCACCAGTGGCTTCATAATTCCAGGACTATAAACTCCACTAAAAGTGCAATTTTTAAGAAAACAAAGTATAAGACAGTACTCCTGTTTTTATAATTCCAGGACTATAAACTCCACTCAAAGCACAATTAATGATCATAATTGTGACATTAACTATGGCTTCATAATCCTGGAGGGGGATAAGCGTTCGGTGGGAGGGTAATGTAGGGGTCAAGGTTATATTATGTTTATTTATTTAATCAGGACAGTGCACAATAGATTATAATCATACAGATTGTAAATGAGCCAGATTATAGACCAAACAACACAAAATCACAAAATACAAAATCAGTCCAAACACACGTTCAGACAATGACATTACAAAATTAAAATGAATTCAATTCAATTCAATTTTATTTATACAGCGCCACATCACAACAACAGCGCTTTCCAAACAGAGCAGGTCAGACCCTACTCTGAAGTTGATTACAGAAACCCAACAATTCCCACCATGAGCAAGCACTAGGCGACACAGGCAAGGAAAAACTTCCTTTTAACAGGCAGAAACCTTGAGCAGAACCATGGCTCAGGGTGGGCAGCCATCTGCCTCGGCCGGTTGGGGGTGAGAGAGAGAGAGGGCAAGAGAGAGAGAGAGAGGGCGAGAGAAGGACAGAGGGAGCAGAGAGAGGCAGCCTACACAGCAACACGTAGACTAGATGAAAAATGGCAATGATATTAATACTAATGATGATGGTAGAAGTTATGACGGCAACAGAGCAGGAACACGGGGGCAGCAGGAAACTCCCAACCACAGATCTAGACTCCACAGCTCTGGGTTATTTTGTGTTCATAACTTTCTTGAATTCTTAACTTGGCGTGGGTAGGTGGTTCTTTGCTTGATTTCATTTATTGTATTGTGTGAGTCTCTTCTAAATGTTGCGGTTTTAGTAACCAAAAAAGAAA